TATTATATACATATATATATATATATATATATATATATATATATATATATATAGGTTTATTATAATCGGGTTTAAACAGATACCTATGTGTTTTTATTCGTGTAGAAAACTAATTTAGAAAATTGAAAGGTGTATATTATATACATTTCATATAATTATATAATTATATATTAAGAACTAACTCACGAATAAAAACAAGTCAAACTAGAGATTAGTAATATCAAATATATATTTTGCTATTTTTAATTTACTAAAGATTTACATATTACAGGCTAAACTAATTGGAAGTTGCCAGTCTTCGATAGAACTGGTACGTCACCTTCACAATCTGCTCATGGAAGACGACAAATCGAGTTTAGGAGCTGCTAAAAGTAGCGAGGTAACAACACTAATAGCTCGATACGACACACTCATTGCACTAGCAAGAGCACGTGAACAGCAAATCAGAGAGCTCAGGTAAAATTTTTTTCGTGCTTACTCCAGCATTTCGCTTAAACGAATTTCGAATTTTGTAATAAACAAAGTCTGCAACAACAATGAGTTTTCTAAATTAATTCTCATCACATTGTTCAGATTAAGTTTCTGACATCACAGAATTATATGACACTTAAAAAAATATTATTTACATCAGAACATCTATAAATGAATATGATTTTGATTGACATGCAGATATAATACACAAGGCTTTCCATCTTTTATATTTTACTTAACGATGTCTTCTCATTTTAAACATTATAAAAAAGTACTAAATTATATGCACACGCTATTAACTCCCGCATACTTTTTTGTGATAATCCATCTTAACAATATAATATATAATCTTTTGTTTAAATATAGCGCCATTTTTAATTTTCACTTTATTAATCACTAATATCAAATAATCAACAAAATAATTATGACCAATATCATAACAATATCGTTTACGCTTCTTTTTGTATTGTTTAAGCCTCTCATCTTTCTGCTAATATTACACATTAACACTATCTTGCAATAATTTTTAACGCAAATAATAACGCTTTAATAAAACCAATTAAAAATTAATGCTTATTCCTTATCCCGTACAGATCGCCTGTCACCGATGCTTACGCTTTTCCATGTGATCAGTGAGTAACTGATTATATAACAATTAAATTCGATGATAAATAAATTCGCTATTACTAATGAAAATTATTTTCAAAGTCTTAGAAAAATTTAAAAATTTTAATAGTTATATAATAAAATGTTATATAACAATTTGATAAATCTTTTAAATTTTCATAAGCATATTAATATGTAATTCATAATCTTATTATATAAATTTTAGATATTTGCTCTATTTCAAATAGAAATATTTATAAAATATATGCCAAATAATGAACAACGTTTTTAAAATTAATTAAACTACAATTATAATTTGGAATATATTTGCTTCTATAATTACAATTATAATTATTGTAGCGATAGTGGCAGATTGACCTGTCCATTATGTTCTCGCCGCAATTGGGCTCAACTCGACAATGATCTCTGGCGTTTGGATAAATGGCTAGAGTACGCCGAAGGTATACAGAGTGAACAACATTCACCGCCTAGTGATATAGAACAATTGGAAGACGTGATTCAGGATCATCGCGAGTTTTTATTAGATCTCGACAGTCACAGAAGTATTGTGACAAGTTTGAACATAGTCGGTGCTCATCTAGCCGATCACACAGAGGATACGGAACGTGCGAAGGAGCTTCGCGATCGATTGGCCGTGGCAAATGGCAGATGGGAGAAAATCTGTACAGCTGCTGTGGAATGGCAGGAACAGCTGCAGCACGCCCTTATGACAAATCATCAGTTTTACCGTATTATAGAGGAATTATTAAGTTGGCTCGAACGTACCGAAATCAGCATTCGAGCAAGTGAACCAATTGATTTAACCGAATCCACCAATATTATAGAAGCAAAATATAATAAATTTAGGTAAAAATTCTAATTTCCAATTTTTTTTTCTCATGGTAATGCGACAGAATCCTCATTTTATTCTCATTTTAGGGAGCTGCGAAGCGATCTGGAGCGCTGCGAGCCAAGAGTAATATCGTTACAGGAAGCGACTAACCATCTTTTGAACGAACAGACGGAAACCAGAACGCGTTTGCAAGAATTGCGATTAAGATTGCAATCGTTAAGAAGACTCACAGGAATTTACGCCCTTAAGTTAGGAGCTGCCCTCGGGCTCGATCCGCGGGATGTCGGTCTTGCTGCTACTTCTACATCTCTCGCATCTCTCTCACACGACGTAAGTTCTAAATTATCTTTATTCTTAATGAATCTATACCTAATTAAAGGAAAAGTACCTGTAAATTCATTAATCTACGAATATTGCCGAGTATTGTCGATCTTATAAGCCTAAAGTAGATTTTGACACTAGAAGTAGTCGATGTGACACTGAAGTATAATTATGGCAACAATTTGAGTATTTATAATTAAAAATGAAAAAATTTCTATTCGCGCAGCATATAAAGCTGTAAAGTAATCTATATCTTTCCGGTAGACTTTTGCGCTCTATATGTAC